GTACCTATCGTATTTATTAACAATTCTTAACACTTTTAATTGCATTTCTTCCTTGCACTAATCAAAGTGCTGAAAGGAACAAGCAGTTTGACTTAGGAATGTGCAGTTTTAATAGTTAAAATCTGCACCAAAGAAAAAATTATCAATTAAAAAAAAAATTCTTCATATCTTCAGTCTAATACCCAGTACAACATGACCTACTTTTCTGAGCTGCATGTTTTGTTTTCCCTGAATCACAAATGTAGCAAGATAGAATGCAAAGTGCAGTATGCGCCTTTTTTCTTTCTTTTTTTTCCCCCACCTAACTGGGCAGATAATTTCTGCCAGTGTGCTTTTCATAATATGAGGGATACCCTACGTGTGATAAACTGAGGCAACAGGAGCATAGTGTTTAGTAAATGGATGGGCAATGACAAGTATAAATACATGTCACCTGTAATGTAAGTACAAGACACCTGGAGGTGTCAACTCACCCACCCCCCATTACTAGGCATTGTATAATAATTTGTAGACAGGGAAAAGAAGTTAGTGAATTTTGTCACACTAGATTAAGTCAATTTTACATATATATTGCTGCATGAGATATTGCACTGTGTATATAGATTTAACTGGGAGCCAAGATAGAGTGTTCAAATTAAATATTAGAATTAGAAACAAAACTTTGCAAATGTTTAACTAAGCTATGTGCATAACTCTTCTGCTATGAATAGTCTCCCAAAATCTTTGGAAATTAAATGTATCAGGCCTCCAATACACTTCTCAAAATCCATGATGAAGATATAATCCACATTCTTACTAATAATCCAATTCATAATCCATTATGAAGCCAAAATGCTTACTGCTCAGCTGATGCAGGCAGTTCCTAAATTTCACAACCGGGGTGCATCCTGAGGGCAACATACCTCAACCTCCACACTGGAAACCTCTCAAAGGCCCAACCAGACTCTGCTATGCCTTTCTATAGAGCCTGGCACAACTGGGGCATGACCTACCAAGCAGTAGGTTTTGTTCTTTAGCATGAAGAGAAAACGCAGCAATGCTCTCGGGTAGCCTGAACAAGTGATAATGCCTGCCCAGTGGGCTCCAGCTGTGTTTGCCATTACATAAAAAACCAAGAATTAGTATAAAAAAGAGAGCCTCGAAGTTGGCTGTAGCATTATGCGTGGCCGCGTGAACTGACTGCCCGAGTGCTCACAGCCTGCTGAAGAGGCTAGGCGAGGCTCAGCTGCCTAACCCAGCCACTGCAGACCTTGTACGCGCATCTTTGTTAGATACGAGGAATTTTGTATTGATCTATTTGTCTAAACAAAACAGAAGGAAAAAAAAAGGGGGGAAGGTGGTTGAGAGGTGGGGGAGGTGATGTGATGTAAAATATCTTCTTATGGCTTTCGCTGACATTCACTTTTATTAGATTGATTGTAAGCTCAACAAATATGGTCCAAGAACAGCGTGGATCTATAAAAATGTTTAAAATACTCTAAAAAAAGTCTGCATTGTGTTTGCAAGTTGTCTGTTATAAGAATCTCATGCATCTCATCCCCTGTATGACCTTTTTTTTTTTCCTGAGGATTTCATTGTGCTGCAACTGCCTCTGGCTTTGGTGTTCCCTGGTTCATGTGAATACAATAACACAATGAACCTACTCTGTCTTGTCATAAGGAGGCATGCGTCATCCCTTAAAAAAGAAAGAGACAATAGCCACTGACTTACTCCATTGTGCCCTTTGTAGCTGCCACCCTACAGTGTAGGAAGACTGGTGTAGGTTTGAACCAAGAACTTGAGCTAAGAATAGTAATATAGGCTTTTACTGAATTGACAAAAAGCCTTGAAAGAGAAATAAACACTAACACAAACCTTTTCAAGTGAGAATTAGTAGAGCGCTTGAGGAATGACATAAAAAAAGAAAACGTGAGAGTAGATTTTAGTTATTAACAATCATTATTTGTATTTACTAAGAGCACTTCAATGACTACACCGTTTGGCCTAAAATTTGAGATTTGATACATAGGTGGAAGCAATTCACCATACATAACCAAGGAATGATGGGAAAAACTTCAGACTGCAAATATAGCAGCGTAAATATCGCTATAGGGATGCTCATACCTTTTCTATTCATTCACCAGTATTTGAGAGAGGGGGAAATTATGGAGACATTTGGGATTTTGCTGCAATTGTGTAGGTTGCAGTTTCATGATAACAGAAATTTATTATAGCCTTTTAGCTACTCCACTTACTTTGGTCTTAAACTTTTATTACTTTTGAACCATTAAACTTTCATACAGTTTAGTCCTCAATCTATGTTATCTTTTAGCCGCCGCCACCTTCAGAAACCTTACACAGAAGAATTTCCTTCAGCTGTATGCAATTACATTAGCACAGCAGTAATGTGGTAGGTCAAAGGGCGTTGAAGTCTGATCTAGATTTTTTCCCTTGGGAAATTTTGAACATGTTCCAAAACAAGAGGCTGCAACAGTTGCTTGGTTTGCCCATTCACAGCTCAAATTACCCCTAAGCAGGTTAGCCCTGATTTCTCCAGTATCCTAAGCTTTTAAATGATGCAATAAACATACGAGAGGTCTGTTGACTCAGGTGGAGCTGCCCTGAGAGCAACCATTGAAATCCATTTCCACCTGCCTTGGCCACAGCCCAGGGCCAGCCTTGATCACACACGATCCAGCGCTAAGGATGAAAAATGCACCTTCCAGAGACATCAAAGCAAAGCTGCTCTGCAGTGAGGGCTCTGATAAGGTGTACCCCATTGCCACAGCTTCCTGCTCCGCCTCTGCTGTGCCCCAGTCTTGCGCCACGGCCACCAGAAGCGCAGCAGGAGACCAGCCTGGCCCATGCAGGCAGCCCCAGGCTGGGGACAAGCAAGCACAGCACTTCTTCAAGGTACCAGCTTCTTCAAAGATCTTTCTAGAAGCTGCTTCCTGATGGCCTGGCAGATGAGAATCTCCTGGTACCTAAGTCCAGCATGTACCATCCACAGTATTTATTGCCGTGTGGGAAAACCGGGGAAGACTTGCAGTTGGCTGATGGCTGTATGGGGTTTGGCTTCTGGAAGCTGCAATCGGATAGTCAAGACTGATGTCACGTTAGTTTGTTCTTCTCAGAGCCCAGTGATGACCAGATATTTTCTGCAACGGTTACCTGACGATGCAAATTGTTCTAGGTCACCTCTGCAAACCCTGTGGCACTGACTCAGCAGATCTGTGGATGCCCCAAGGAGGAGTCAGGACCATTGCAGCCTGGAGCAGGAGGGTTGCAACCAGGCATTCTTGGAGTGACAGCCCTTTTGCCACCCCGTAGCTGCCAAGATCTTTGAGCCGCACAGCACAAACATCTTGTCTTCCTGATTTTGTAATTACATATTTTATATTGGAAGCCAGCCATAATTGAAAATAGCTCAAATAGCTTATTTTCTCAACAAAAAGGACCTTCCTAAAGAACTAGTCACAAAATATTCAGGCACTATGTATAAGGATCCATATGCAATCAGAAGAATAATTTTTCTCTTTCAGACTGTCTAGGTATTTTTAGCTGCATAAAACTTTCTCCATCTGAAGCATTTCATTATGCCATGCAATTTTAATGCAAAATTTAATCTCCACCTTAGAAAATCAGAATTGATAGAAAACAGAACTTAAAAGAAGGCTTAGCAGAGTACAACAGTAGTACTTGCATTCAAGTATTTTGCCTGCTGACACTGACTGCAGTGGAAATAGGAAACGTTACAGGGCAGTTCAACAGTGCTAGCCTTGCCTGAAGGGTAAATTGAGATTTACTGAAGTACCTTTCAGAGGTACGCAGGTGGGCTCTGTTGCTGCTTATCACACAGCACACGTTGTGTGATGCACTCACAGCTGCCCTGCGGGAAGGCAGGACTCTTGATCTTAATTTACTTCTGAGGAAAACAAACTCATGTTTGGTGTAGAGCAGGAACTGGCCATCTGGGTCCCCCACAACCCAGGCTGTGTTTTTCATTAGCGGAGTCAGGATATCCACTATGAGAGGAGGAAGCTGATGATTCAGGTACTGTGTTAAGATTTGAGAGCCTAATATTGCAGGTGGCAACTAATCTGAGGGTTGTTACTGGGCTGCAAACTTTCCCTGGTCTTCTGGCTTCCTTCAGTGCTGAGTTACGTCAAGCCCACCTCTTCTCATGAGGTGAACCATCATCACAAGAAGTTTTTCATGTTTGGATTTTAATCTTGAATTGTCAATGAAATTACTCAATGCAAGGAAATTACTCAATTCATCAAATTATTCAACCAGCGTGATCAGCTGCAAGTGTTTGCCAAGTCTTACATGATATGGAATTGGTTTCTTCACTTTATATTTCAAAAGAAACCCAGCCAGGGGCCTGACAGCAGTAAGTGCTGCACGAGAAACATCAGTTGCAGCCGGAGCTGAATTCATGTTCTCCTGGATGACAAAAGAACCCAGCTCTGGGAAAGATGAGAGGACCTCGTTACATTTGATCCCTCATCTTGTTATCTCCAAAACATAAAAAATGAAAAAAAAAAAAAAAAAAAGGCATTCTAGGTCAGATTCAATTATTAATCAATTTCTTGCACTCTCATGCATCCAGGTTCACGTTTATGTTAGTAGAACTTGTTTATAGAACATAAACATTTCCGTTTTAACATTAAGAAAACAAACAAAAAGCTGAGAGATGGCGAATTTGTCAGGGAAGCTTTCGGAACGGCTTTTCGGACGCGAGCTGCAAGTGGCCGGCGGTCTGGGAGCAGGTGAGTTCCCCAGAGCTGCCTGTGCTCTGTCTCGTCAGACCCCCCAGAACTGCTGAATTAACATTTTTTGTTAGCTGCAGATGAAGGCAACTGATGTGAAGTGAGATTAACAGACATAAGTCTGTAAGCACATTTCTAATATTTATTGTAGAGCTGCTAGGGATCCACCAGCAACATAGCTTCTCTTGGAATTAAATTGTCATTTACAGACGCTACCTGCTAAAGGAGGCTGTTGTATTCGAAGCCATGTCAGTTCTTATTCTCAGCTCCAGCTTCCTGAAGCTGTATTGGGCCAGCAACGACAGTCACACTTTCTTGGCCAGAGCTTGCCTCTCTCTCGGACCTAGCAATACAACCTTGGTAGCACCTGGAAGAATAGTCGTAGGCCCTGCACACCACCAGTTCACACTGCAGGTAGACCAGTGGATTGCTACGAATAAACTGGAAGGCATTGAATTTAAACCGGACCATGTGTCTGTAGGGTGAATAATATGTTGCATAGGTAGAATCTCGAACACACCTAAAAAGAAACAAAAAGACTCTGCTGATTTTTTCTCACTGCAATCAGTCATTTACACACAATATAACACAGAACATGAAAAGTGATTTTTAAACGTGATGAAGTTGGTTCAGAAACCTGCAATTAGGAAAAGCAAGATGCCCTTCTTTGGCACCGTTGAGTCCTGTTACCTCCCCTCAGCCTGTTGTGTGTCTAGATACCTAGTGTTTGTACGTTTTTCTGAAGGTGAATTATCCTTACCTGAGGTATGTCACTGTTACCTCTCCAATACTAAGAATCCACAGTGAACTGGCCATAGCCATTTAGTCTATTTGTCATTTTAAGCTGGGGCGGTGAGGAGTGTGTTATATTTTGGGTCAGTCCATCCCCCTTCCCCAATAACCTTCAAATGCCCGTGTTCATCAATTATTAGTTAGAAGCTGACAATAATGTATGCTGTATCCACACCAGTCCATTAAAACAAGAAAAAATAAAACAGGAAAAAAGATAAGAGATACAGGAGTTCAGAGGCAATTCTATCTGTAATTGTAAAGCATAAGAGCTTACCCATTCCTGATTATATCATAGGTTACTGTTGTAAAATTGTGGGGAGTGGGAGATGCCACACACGTGTCCACAAATAATACCAGGTTTGAATCAGAGCTGTGAAGGTAAGCTTCAAGGAATAAATCCTGGTTGATATCAACATAGTACGGCGAGTCATTCACTGGCCACGAGAAGGATGCAGAATTATAAAATGTAAGGTTTACATCATATCTGCCATACTGAGTTTCATTGACTTCAAAATTGTCCTCCGCAACATACATTATTTGTGCCCATGTGTTCTGGAGCATTTTGCAGTTGATATGCAAGTGAAGATTTTTATTTCTTGTAATTACAGTACCAGAAGAGGATCCTCTAATAAGGTTGGAATAGATTATTATATTGTTGTTTTCCTGTTTGGCATATAAAATAAAATAAAATGCAAAATTAATTCATATAGTCAGGTTTCCTATTATGCATTCTAAACTTTGTTGTACCCTTACAGCCACGTGCACAATAAATGCATTACTTCCCAGAAAGTCTGCTGTGGAGAAGTCTGAACCTAGTAATTTCTGTTCTCAAGATAAGAATCTCTAATCTACATGTAATATTCGATGACAACATTGCGGACCTAGAAAATTACTCACGCAGACATAACTAATTAAATACAACCTGTACGATTATTTGACCATCAAATGCCTGAAGAATCTGGTCCAGCACAGTATTTAAGCTCAAATCTGACTTAAACCACAATTGGTCATATTTAGTAAAGGCTTTGAGACCTTTTTAACCACCGCATTCAGCTTGGGACCTTGAAAATGCCAAGTATTTGCTTCCTCTCACACTTTATTCCTTAGAAGGTCAATAACAGGCTCTAAGTGAACGCTCTGGCAGCAGATGCAGGAAATATGACTGTTAATAAACCTTATCCTTCAGGAGGGGGAGAGGCAGCCCATAATCACCAGGAGACTTCCCGTCCCTGCAGACTTCGGTATAGCTTTCCATTTGTGCTCATTTTCAAAATTAATTCTTCGGTTTGAATATTTACACACTCACAATATTTGCATAATCTGTTGAAACGTTTAAAGTCATACCTCTCTCACTGTGCCGCAGCGAGTGTATGGTATGTCGAATATAGCATACTCTGATGTAATGTTGGGTTTGCAATAGGGGTCATTCAAGGAGAGATTCCAGGCAGAGTAGCCTTGTGACTCAAGGTAGTATCTGCTCACAACCGCACGCATGTAGTCTGGCAAACACAACAGTGCTAGCAGATGACAAAGAAAATATGTTACAAGCTCACTGAAGTGACTGAAAAAGGTTATACTTAATAAAAAACATCTTTTCCAGAAGCAGCTGATATTGCAGAAGGAGTTCAGAATCCAAACTATATACTTGCATCTCTGTGAAATGCTACAGATTTAATGTAAAATAACGTGAAATGGGCGATTTGTTGAAGTGGTACAACAAGCTTAACAATCAGTGAATTAGCAACAGTTGAGAAGCAGGTTTCTGCTTTAAACATGAACTTACTAGTGCTCTGATCTGCTGGAGTGGCATAATAGTCAGCCTGAAACCCTCTGTATGTGTGTCGAGAGTTACTGTAAAATCGGACAGTCAGCAGGTTTGAGGAGGAAGTGTATGTGCGAAAAGAACCAGAACAGAATTTCCCAAGGAGAGGAGAGGTAAGGAGTGGCCCATCGTAGACTTCCACATAGTCAGACAGGCATCTGCCACCTTCCATCCTGGGGAGCAAACATGACTATTTAGTTAAATGCATAATTTTTTTTAAAATTATTTTTCCTTTTTTTTAAAAAAAACTCAGATTAACTGTTCATAGCAAAAGAGTACATCTTAGTGATATGACTATCAAGTTTTTGGAACAGAAATTACAGCCTCCAATTTCTGTCTCATTAGATGCCATCCACATTATTGATTAAATAAACAAAAATGAATACATTTTACATCTCAGACGTACTAAAATCTTCGAAAAACATCCTTGAAATCAAGCAGCTATCAGCTTATACTAAGATGTTGATCCCATACATCATCTTCCCAAGTACTAAGTTTTTACTTACTGAACATCTCTAAACGTGAGTGTGACACAAAAGTTGCTCTTTACTTCTATTTCCCAAACACAGTTGACATTGTTTGGATAATTTCTGGGGTAAAATGGACTCTGTAATGTCCCAGGTGGAGAGGAAAGCAAGCCGCCACAAGAATAATCTTCTGCAGAGAAAAATATGGGAAGGAAAATATATGTATACACCATTTAAGCTGGCTTTTGGAATATGTAGAATTTGTAAGTCTAAAATTTAGAGGCATAGACTTCTACCAGCTTCAGTGGTCTTTCTATTAGGTTCATATGTCATCTGAATGCAGATTAGGAGATGCTAAGCACACTGAACAGCTTTTATAATGCTGATCTTCAACATCTGCGCTAGCAGGACAGAGTATCTGTCATAGAACTGCACAATCGTTGAGGCTGGACCTCTGGAGGTCAGCTGTTCCTTGAAAGAGAAAAAGTCACAGCTGAGCCTGGTTCTCCTCCATTGCAATTGCTAATTACCAAAGGGAAGGTAAAAAGCATCAAAATTATTTTGTTTCTGCATAAGAATGCTGACAAATACCCAATTCATAAACATGAAGACCTTATGTCACAGAAAAAAAATTGTATAAGATTATGTATAGATCAGTTGCAGACTAATCAAATAAGAGGGGAATCAAGATCTAAGAAGTAAAATAAAGTAATGGATTTCTAGGATACTTTTCAGTATAAGTTCAAACTACTCCAAGAAAAGAGAAATGTGTAAATGGACACCATCTTTTGAATTATATTCCAAATTAGATAAAACACATATTTACTTCTTTTAACCTAAAGAAAGAACAAGATACCTGTATAAAAGACTCTATTGAGGACTAAGAGATTTTCTATTTTTATTTTCAGCTTCTAGCAAACATGAAAAAAAATTCTCTTACTAACTGAGCTAACATTAACTTTAAAATATGTGTTATCCTCAGATGATGTGCTTGAACGAACAGATGAAATAGGAATCAGACGAATAATGACACTTAAGAAATGGTCAAAAACAATGCTTTCTAAGCACTTGTGAAATTACTGCTCAACTGCAAAGAAATAAATGACTATACTGGTGTGAAATCACCTGCACTGTTATTTTGGGATAATTTGAGGAATTGTTCTTTTGGTATTAAATGAAGAGGAATATACCCTGAAACAATGAGCAGTAACATTCTTCTCATTGGCTACAACCATGACCAAGCAATTCCTCTGCCTGCACTTGCACACACACAAGCCCAACACATGAGCCTTTCCACCTGAGGAGCCCCTCTCAGATGCTCCATATATGTTCTGCCTGCAGATCAGGACACACTTGTTTGCTCTGAGGGTGACTGACCAATGGCACAGGTTGCCCATAGAGGCGGTGGGCTCTTCATCCTTGGAGACAATCAAGAGCCATCAGGACATGGTCTTGGACAGCAGCTCTAGGTGACCCTGCTTTAGCAGGGAGTAGGACCAGATAACCTCCAGAGGTCCCTTCCAACCTCAGTCATCCTGTGATTCTGTGATCCATAACTGGAGGCAGTAGCTAGTCATTCCCCTCAACCCCTCTGGACCTACTTGAGGTTGATGACACGGTGGACACTGAGCTGGAGCTACCTGGTGCTGCAGGGAGAGAGCAGCAGGTACGCAAGCAGCACTTTGCTTAAGAGAAATAATGCTTTGGGAATCACCCTCTCCAAAAGGGCTCCTGGGACACTGAAACCTGAGACCCACTGTCACCACCTGGGTGTGTGGCAGGTCCCTGTGTGCCTGCACCTCAAAGCTCTCCCCCTCCATCCCACTAGCCTGGAGTGCAGATATGTTCTGCATGTGCAATAGGTCTCATCAGCAGGGCCTCAGATGCCAATGGAGGAACGTCTTTGTAAATCATCAGGATGATGGGACAGAGTGGACCCTCAACAAGTTTGCTGATGACACCAAACTGGGAGGAGCAGCTGATCCACCAGAGGGTCCTGCTGCCATCTAGAGGGACCTTGACAGGCTGGAAAAACGGGACATCAGGAACATCATGCAGTTCAACAAGGAGAAGTGCCAAATCCTACACCTGGGTAAGAACAGACCCAAGCACCAGTACACACTGTGGGCCGCCTGGGTGGGAAGCAGCTCTCCAGAAAATGTCCTGGGGGTACTGCTGGACACCAGGTTGAACATGACCCAGCAACGGTTAGCAAGGGGGTTTGGACTAGCTGACCTCCAGAGATCCCTTCCAACCTCAGCCATCCTGTGATCCTGAGCACAGGCAAGAGATAACCAGTCCCCTCAACCCCTCCAGACCTACCTATGGTCAATGACACAGGGGGAGTCAAGCTGGAGCTACCTGGCACTGCAAGGAGAGAGCAGCAGGTGAGCAAGCAGCATTTCCTTAAGACAAAGAACCCACTGGGAGTCACCCCTCCCCAGAGGTAACCACAGGACACATAAACCTGAGACCCACAGTTGGCACTGTAACCTGGCGGGGCTGAGACCAACCTCAATCATCCTGTGGTCCTGTGATCCTGAGCAGGGGCAGCACTAGACCCCTCAAGCTCTCCAGGCCCCGCCGGAGGTCAGCGACAAGGTGGGAATCGAGCGGGAGCTACCTGGTGCTGCAGGCAGAGTGCAGCAGTCGTGCTCGCTCCTCAACAACTCCTCAGCTGCAAAAACGAGCTCACTGCACTGCGTGTGAACTCACCAGCCCTCTCTATTTGGGGAAAACAAGTAGTAACCATGAGCAGGAACACTGCCTTCTGCAGCTGTGCTGTCCCAAAAGTGGGATTGTATACCCTGTGTGCAACATGCCAATATACACACAGAGTAGAGGTATTTATAGCACATTTGTGCAGATATTGGTGCCAGGTGGTATTGCACAAAGCTGGCACACCACGCAGAGGAATCACCACATATTTATCCCATTACACGGTTAGGGAAAACAATGGATAACCCACCCGAGTTTACACTCACTGGCTAGTAATTACCACGCTGCTTATTATTGGTTACACATATTTAAATTGGCGTGCATGCTTCTAGAAAGGGCGGGGGGGGGCGGTAATTTGCACAGTCCGTCAGATGAGTCCATGGTCACAATCTCCCCCACCACCTTTGCCTCTACCCTAGTTGCTGAGGATTCTGCTGACCTCATGACAGTTACAGTTTTCAAGAGTGCAGGAACAACTAAGTCTTGATGGTTTACTGCTTAAGTACAACTACTTCTTCATCTTCTTGATGAACCACTAAATCTGGCTTCATTGGTTTTTTTTAATTGTGTTGTCTCCTACTGACCTGCCCCCTAGAATCTTTCATTTGTTGCAGACCAGCTGCACCAATGAGTGTGCCACGAACAAGCAACTCCTCTGCCTGCCATAAAGGCCAGAAAAATCAATGATGGCTCAGCAGCAGCACTGGCAGAGGTGGAAAAAGCCCTGTCCCGGCTCATCAGGCAAAGAAACAGCATTCTGGCAGCAGTCTGGTGGCAGTCCTGTCCAAAAAGATGCCCCCGAGTCATAACGCTTGTCAGGGGGGCCAGAGGGTCTTGGGTGCCCATGTCTGTCTGATGGGCCTTAAGGAAGGGTCGGTGCTTCTGTCCTGGCAAAGAGTAAGGGACGGCTCTGGTCTTACCTGCAGTATTGCTGGAGGCAGGGAATGAGTAGTAGTAGGCCTGGAAACCTCTCTGGGTGACGCTGCCATCACTGCGGAACAGGATGGTCAGCTGGTGCCCGGATGACTTGAAGACGCGATGGTCGTTCCTGCAAACAGCCCCAAGCAGCGGGCCCCCGGGGGACCCACCGTCGTACACCTCGATGGAGTCGTACAGGCAGCTGCTGCCTTCCAGCCTGCGGAGGGAGGGAAGGGTCTGTCTGCACCGTAGGCTGTGCCACCTCCGAGCACAAGCACTGGCAGGAGCTGC